ACGCAACACACGGCATGAGACATTTATAGAAACTGTTTCACTTTTGAATAGAGTAGATGTAGATAAACTCGGTCACCAGTGTTGATTGCAGTGGATTATGGTAATTCAAGACTAGTCGCATCACTACACAAGCTTACGTCTTTTTCTGTTTCAGAGTGGGTTGAGGTACAGACTGTCAGAGGATACTTTTCTCGGCTGGCTTCGCAACAAAAGGGACTTCCAATTAGCGAAGAGGAGGGTGAAGACGAAGCGCTGGAGAAAGAGGATTACATAGAGCAACTAGTCAGGGTGGCTAAACAAGAGGCACCCTCTTGTATATGATGATTTCAATTTTTGTGATCTCTCTGCCAAGGGTAGATTAGCCAAGGTTCTGAAAAAGCAAAAACTCAGTCAGCTTCAGTCATTTTGCGAGTATTTTGACGTTTAAATTTCTGGCCGTGCTATTCATAAAGCATCGTATTACGAACCTCATACAATTAGCAAATTCCTGTGATTGCCGCAAGTAAATAATTTTTAGATTCTTCAACTTAAAACCAATCAGTGAGTCAGTTAAGGTTGCGCGACTCGTCGACTTGGTCCAGTCATCGCACTCTCGCGTCCAAGGTGATACAATACCAATCACGTCTCGAAGCGTTTCATGACTTTGTATGAGGCGTTTCATATGAACATCAACACGAAAAAATGTTTTTCATCCAGCTCTCCTAACTGTGGATCCCTTCTATGGTTTCACTTACTGAGCGATAAAGTATTTGGGAAATCTGATGGATCGCACTCATCAAGACGCTGATCACTGCAGCTCGTAAGTACGCTATCTACGTTTGGTCATGATTACTGATGCAAGAGCTATTTAGGGTGTTAAAAAGCCGAACAAAAATTATCTGTTGACGATCGTTTTTGCTAAGCTTACTTTATCTTTTTGAAAATGGCTTGGAAAATTATGGGGACTTTCCATGCTTGCGGTAATACATGGAGATATGTCCTGAAAAATATAAATCAGAGAAAATCTCAAATATATTTGTATGAAGGTAAGAACATTGTCATTTGTGCTCTATAATGGGTACAGTCAACTCTCTCGTAGGCACCCACCCTTGATGCAAGACAAAGTGGTCGCTTAGCAGAGGTCATCTACGGGAAAAAATAAGAGAATAAGCTCAAACCGAAGTGATTAAAGTGATTACATAAAGTTATTACCTAACGAGCAACAACTTAGGCAAACAGACAACTGCCAATAAGGTTTCAAATCGAATAACGCTTAAAACCGTTGAAAATTTGTACATAACATCTTATATCAATGTTACAATCCATTTTTACCTACAGATCGTATTGCAGCCTTTTTTTGTTAGTCAACTGCTATGTTGAAGGTGAATTTTCACTAGTGGAAATGGCTTATTGATTTGGCATAGGGGCAGATAAAGTGGACCGGAAGTACATATTTCGGCAGGACGACACGACAGAAACTCTTTGATGATTGCAACGGGACATGTCTCATCTCCTGTAGCAAATATTTCGTTGGAAGGAAGCTTCTGGGCTTTTCGGGTAGTTTCCAGTTCTTTCCATCATTTCAAGTGATGGAAAGAGCTTTGGTGGATCCTTTTTGTATGACAGGCTACCATAACAACGATACAACCTGCTAGAGACACCCGTACTTTAGCTTAAAGAGCTTATAACTCAACAGCCAGCTCGGTGACTCCCATTTTCTTGTTATCGAATTGTAATAAGTATGATAAGATGATGAGTATGGCATACCAAGTGTCTAAAAGGAAAACAAGGTGTGTCAATTGAGACTTTATTCATGTGAATAGAAAGAGATTTTACTATATACTGACCAAATGTATTAGATTGAACTCTAAACTAGGGCAGTCCTTCATTTCAAGGTCCTGCCTTTACCATTTCACAACGTTATATTTACCTTGGATAACAATCTATATCGAGTTTTCCTTTTAATTAAAGATATTGTCAATGTCGCAAATCTATCCTAAACTTCTAATGGACCATTTTCGTATTTTCAGTATAGGACTGGAACTAGCTTGAAACTGAGGCTAATGCGGGGACTCTTTTCAAATGTAAATGACACAAATTTCTTTGTAATGACATTCCCCCGCATGAGCCTCCATTGCAAGCTAGTTCCAGTCCAATACCGAGAATACGAATGAGGCCTATTGCAAGAATTATTCTGATCTTGAGCACCAAGCAATGATTAACCCTGAGACGTACGAGCAAATTTATACTCCGACAGTGGTACAGGGGTGGAGGCTCATTAAAAACCTTCATGGATCTCGTTCTATTGAAAAGGATTCAAATTATTTTGCTTTTAGTAGATAGCCTTGAAATTTCTGTACAAGATGAGACACTCTTTTGTTGGTTATGACATTACGTGATATGACGTTATGTCATGGCATTCGCCATGTTAGATCAGCCATCTTGGATTTCACGACTTCATCGGGAAATCAGAATGTGAGGCAAGGTGTGGGAAGTTATCCAAAATGAAAACGGAATGTAAAAAAGTACCAATGCGCCAATGCCACTCAGGAAAACTGGCCTAGCACTAAAGAATTCCGTCAAAAAAATACCTGATAATTTAGCTTCATTGGCATGTCAAAATCGCAAAGTAAATCTACCTCTCAATTGTACCACCCAGGGTTAACAAAGCTTACATACAACAATTTCCGATAATTCTCTACTCTTTTTTATGTATGGCAACTACAAACAACTATCAAACTAGAAAATAATGAATGAAAATTTACGTAAAATTCCCATAAATTAGATTAATAACACATGAATTCTTATTCGGCTCGGTTTACACCGAACTTGTAATTAATTCAGCTTTTTCATTTGTTCCTGCCTTCTTTGGCTCACTGCCCAGCCCATTTATATCTCTGTCTTTCACCTCGATGTCAGGTACAAGTAACTTGTCCAAACGCTGTCAAACCAAACAGAAAAACCAATAAATACATCAAATGATTCTTTTTGGAACATGACTGCGTTTCCTTATCAGTGGCAGTATTTATTAACGCCCTCTTAGTGTGACCGTCCTCCTCTTTCTCCTCCTCTTGCTCCTCCTCCTCCTCGACTTCCTCCTCCTCCTCCTCCCCATTTTCATCCGCCACTTTCTCCTCACCCCGGTTCCTCCAATTTAAGTACCCTTCCTTTACGGATCCATGGAACATTCCCTCATCTACCCCTTCTCTGCATCTCACAAGCTAAATTCATTTATTCATTATTACTCATTAGTCACGAAATTCAACACAGATGGCTACATGAAAACGTGCTAGAAATGCTAACTATCTTCTCTAAGTTTATTTGTTTGTTCTTTTCTTTTCTGTTAAACCAAAAATAAAAGTACTGACGACAAAGACGAAACGTTTCCCTATGCAAACTGGAAGTAACAATGTTAATCGACTGATTGTCAACTGGCCGAGCACTACTTGCAGAGTTTGGACGTTGACCTTGCACAAAACCTGGCAAAATACCAAAGACAATTATGTGTGCTCATACAACTAACCAATCGAAGCATCGCGATTATTCAAACATAGTCTATGAGCATAAAACAAAAGATGTGCAGTGTCATGGACCTTTGAACACAAATTGTAGCCTGTTTGTTAATTTTTTTTATGTTTACCTTCCTAACCATTTCCCTCTATTAACTATGCGGAAATTAAGCCAACTACTCGTGTAAATTACTGTAAGTGTTTACCTCTTTGATAGTTCCAGTAGTCTTGAACAGCTTGTATATCATCACCGCGGGAATAAGAATTAACGAGGATACCGTCAGTAGCCAACCAATCGCCTGCCCCCAGCCTGGGTACACGTAGTCGCCGAATTTGAGTGGTGAATACGTCACAAGGTTAAAGACGAAAATAAACTGCAACGTTGAATATAAAAATCA